GGTCAGAATGCTCTATTGCTGTTGTGTACATACACATGGGGCGGCGCACAATTGGCCCAGCGTCGTCCAGGGTAGGGGAGGGAATGGCCGGCAGGGATGTAGCTCAGTTGGTAGAGCATGGCGTTTGCAACGCCAGGGTTGTGGGTTCGATTCCCACGGGGGGCCAGTATGAAAAAATAAAATAATGTATGCACTCACTAACTGTAAGTCGCTCTGGATAAGAGCGTCTGCTAAAATGACTAAAATGTCAAATGTAAAATACATAGAAGGATAGAGGGGGGGAGAGTCAGAGAGAAAGAAAGAATGTAATGACAGTGGACAGTGACAGGTATGTCTGCTGTTCAGTGTGTATTGGTTTGTTTGGAGTTAAGGTACAGTTTAACTGCTCTCAAACTCCTGACCTCCTTTTCTCTCAGAACCTGGAATGTCTTTCATCTGGTGTTCCAGTTCAGAGAACCGCCCCAGAGGATATACAATGAGACTAAACCAGAGAAAGGGGGAGACACAGAGATAGAAGAGTGATGGCCCATCCTGTTATACAGTCAGCTCCAAAAGTATTGGGACAGTGACACATTGTTTGTTGTTTTGGCTCTGTACTCCAACACTTTGGATTTGAAATGAAACGATGACTATGAGGTTAAAGTGCAGACTTTAATTTCAGGGTATTTTCATCCATATCGGGTGAACCGTTCAGAAATTACAGCACTTCTTGTACATAGTCCCCCCCATTTTAGGGGACCAAAAGTATTGGGACAAATTCACTTGTGTATTAAAGTAGTAAAAAGTTAAGTATTTGGTCCCATATTCATAGAACGCAATGACTACATCAAGCTTGTGACTCTACACATTTGTTGGATGCATTTGCTGTTTGTTTTGGTTGTTTCAGATTATTTTGTGCCCAATAGAAATGATTGGTAAATACTGTATTGTCATTTTGGAATTACTTTTATTGTAAATAAGAATAGAATATGCTTCTAAACACTTCTACATTTACAATAAAAGTAATTCCAAAATGACAATACATTATTTACCATTCATTTCTATTGGGCACAAAATAATAGTTTGACGACACAACAGTGGTAGGCCTGATCACCGACAACTATGAGACAGCCTATAGGGAGGAGGTCAGAGACAAAAACCTCTCCCTCAATGTGAGCAAGACAAAGGAGATGTTTGTGTACTACAGGAAAAGGAGGGCCTAACCGGCCCCCATTAACATAGACGGGGCTGTAGTGCAGCGTGTCGAGAGTTTAAAGTTCCTTGGTGTCCCCATCACCAACAAACTATCACCAAACACACCAAGACAGTCATGAAGAGGACAGGACAATGCCTTTTCCCCCTGAGGAGTCTGAAAAGATTTGGCATGGGTCCCCAGATCCTCAAAAAACTCAACAGCTGTACCATCGAGAGCATCCTGACCGGTTGCATCACCGCCTGGTATGGCAACTGCTCAGCATCCGACCGTAAGGCTCTACAGAGGGTAGTGCGTACGGCGCAATACATCACTGGGGCCAAGCTTCCTGCCATCCAGGACCTATATACTATGCGGTGTCAGAGAAAGTCCAGTCATCCAAGTCAGAGACTGTTCTCTCTGCTACTGCACGGCAAGCAGTACCGGAGCGCCATGTCTAGGTCCAAAAGGCTCCTTAACAGCTTCTACCCCCAAGCCATAAGACTGCTGAACAATTAATCAAATGGCCACCCGGACTATTTATATTGACCCCTCCTCGTTATTGTTATGTCATTTTATTGTGTTACTTTTTTTAAATTTAGTAAATATTTTCTTAACTCTATTTCTTGAACTGCATTGTTGGTTAAGGGCTTGTAAGTAAGCATTATACGGTAAGGTCTACACCTGTTGTATTCGGCGCATGTGACAAATAAAATTTGATTTGAGATAAGTGAATTTGTCCGAATACTTTTGGTCCCCTAAAATGGGGGAACTATGTACAAAAAATTCTGTAATTTCTAAACGCTTCACCCGATATGAATGAAAATACCCTCAAATTAAAGACGACAGTCTGCACTTTAACTCCCATAGTCATTGAATCATTTAATATCCAAAGTGCTGGAGTACAGAGCCAAAACAACAACAAAAAATTGTCACTGTCCAAATACTTTTGGTGCGCACTGTATTACCTGTCACATTCCAGACACTTCCACACCTGCAGTGTGTCTCAAAGGGAGCACGATAATGGAGCAGTATGGGCATGGATGAAGGAGCTGCTAAAGTAACTGCCTTCAGAGAGCAGTGTGTGTGTGTGTGTGTGTGTTTGTGTGTGTGTGTGTGTGTTTGGAGACAAGAGCTTGAAGGAGCTGTTAAAGCCATTAACAGGTCAGTGAGGATAGAGGACCTGGTTAGGCTGTCAGGGGCGTCTACTGTCGGATTAACACACAGCCAGAGAAATGAAGAACAACGCTCTACACACACTTTTCACACTGTATTGGCTCGGCTAGCACGCGCACACACACTCTGGCACACTGGCTCACTCTCACAGTCTCCACACTACTAATCTAACTGACAGAGTTGACTCAAGAGTCCTGAGGATCAACAATGGCATCATACAGGAGCCACACAGAGCATCAGTTTAAGGGTGGGGGTTTTAGGTAGTGTTGTGTACACTCACATAGGACAAACTCAGGGTGTAATGTGGAGCAGCGTTTAGGTAGTGTGTGTGTGTGTGAGAGAGAGGTGGTGATGAGAAGCAGACACGGCAGGCATCTGCATAGAAACAGAAACACAACAGTAGGGATCAGAGAGAGGCTACAGGAGTCAGAGCAGGGCTAGGGAACTGGGGCAAAGGGGGGAGTGGTGGAGGGCTTCACTGTACCTTTGTTTCTGAGTGCACTAAAGAAACAAGTGAGTGCAGATTTGTTAGTTCCACAAATGACTTTGTAATTTCAATGACAGGTATTCGTATCAATATTTTAGCTTTAATAATAAACAACTGTATTTACAGTGTTAAATATTAGTTTCTAGGGCACAACATGTGCTTCAGAAGTAGCTAAAAATTAATTTAGGCCCAATATAGGCTGTATCTCAATCAATAATAAAAATAAAAATAATTCTGGTGCTCCTAAATTTCATGTTGTGCTCCTAACTAAGTTGGGAGCACCAGCGCTACCAATGAAACATGTTAATTTAGAGACCTGGCGGAGGGGGTAACAGACGCCTTCAGAGGTAAATAAAATGTTCTACTTAGCATACCTGTGTGCTCTGGTGTCTGGAGCCATGTGGTGCCTGTCTGTCTGTCCGTGTGCATGTCTGTCCGTGTGCATGTCTGTCCGTGTGCATGTCTGTCCGTGTGCATGTCTGTGTGCCTGCGTCTGTCCGTGTGCGTGCGTCTGTCCGTGTGCGTGCGTCTGTCTGTCTGTGCGTCTGTCTGTCCGGGTGCGTGCGTCTGTCTGTCCGGGTGCGTGCGTCTGTCCGTGTGCGTGCGTCTGTCCGTGTGCGTGCGTCTGTCCGTGTGCGTGCGTCTGTCCGTGTGCGTGCGTCTGTCCGTGTGCGTGCGTCTGTCCGTGTGCCTGCAGTGCGGTGGTGTGGGGTGGTGTGTGTGTGTGTGTGTGTGTGTCTGGGTGACTGAAAATATTTAAATTGACCATCCATTTGAGAAATTTACCGGACCCATATGCATTAGAATGGTTTGCTAATATGACTAGGATTGTGCCTTTGGCTTCTGGACAACGAAAGTTGATATGAAAACCAACAGGAGAGAAATACTGGTTACAGTGGCAGCTCTAACAGAACGTAGCAGACGTAGAAAGACGCCTGAGCGGATTTCCCACTTCCGTATTTCAAGGGAAATGGAAGTTAGATTGAAAATACTTCATCCCTGAAAACCGGATGCTAGCGTTTTCTTGCGACTGCATAGGCTATGGCAGCTCTGACAGAGAAGAGACATCCAGACCTCCTCCTGCTGAATGACTGGACAGCAATTTGTTCCCCAGCTCCCTGGGAGACCAGCTAGACCTCCTGCTGCTTGGTTGCAAACTTCCTAGATCATTAGATCATTACACAATCCCTGTTTGTCTGTGTATTGTTCCGAACTAAATGTCTGGCTCTGGTGCTCAAACGTCAGTTATTGGGACTTATTCTGTCACATGTCTAATCCACTGCTTTGGGGATCAGTTACGTTTTCTACCCCTTCCCAAGAGAGAAACTCCCACGGTGTTTGAGTTGTAAACTGGCTACTGTAAATGTCCACCATTGGCTAGCTTGACGACTACTTCTGACAAAGAATGTTTGCTACATTCTATATAATTGTTCAATGATGGCAATGTACACCGCAACCAAAGACAGTACAGTATGAAGATAGGCAGAAACTGCTTCTCCAATAGAAATCCCCGATCACATTTGTAGGCGATGTCATGGCGACGTTGGCTAGCTAAGATCATGCGCAGAAACACGTCATCAGGTCTAACAGTTGTCTCGTGCCGAACTGCGCATGTGCAGGCCGTCGAATCAAAGCCACTCCTTCGATATAAGTTATTTTTGGACAAAAATGAAAACGTGTCAGTTTATCACTTTCTCGAGGTTGGAGTAATAACATGTTCAATTACTTAAGACATTGGCTCGAATCTAGGTTGTGCCTTTATATTGAGAAAAGTAACAACTAAGGAAGAATTTTTCACTTCTCATTGACTTCTCAAACCCCAAACCCCAGCCTGGTCTGCTTGGCCTGTTTCGCAAGTGTTCCCGGAAGTCTTGCGATGTTGTGCCTCTGGGTTTAGAAACTCTGTGCCGCCTGTGTGTGTTAGCAGCTACCAGTGCCCTACATGTCTTGCTTTGTTGTTATGAATGAATCTGCCGCAAAACTATTTTCCTTTTTAGGGATAAAATATACAGGACTAGCACTCCTGGTATTTTGTCATCAACAATTGCATTTTTCATTTTTGGGAAAAGTTAACTATTGCTTCACACTAACTCCTATTCCTTCATCCATTGCAGGGAAGCCCAGAGGAAGTCCAGGAGGCATCCAGCTAGCCAGTAGAAGAACACCATGCAGGGTGTGGTGGGGGTGAGACAGGGGTTGTCGTGGAGCCTGTGTGCCCTGCTCTGCCTCTCTCTCTGGGGGCTGAGCCAGTGCCGAGGCTCCAGACAGGCCAGAGAGACCAGGGTCCAGCCCAGGGACCATCCCATGCTCAGGGCCAAACGAGCTCCCGCTGAGGATGTCAAGAAGTGCTCCTACACCTTCCTGATTCCCGAGCAGAAGATCACAGGTCAGTGTTTTGTCTTCTGTGAAGAGTCTATTTTCTTTTTCCTGTCTTGTTTATTGACTTTGAATGATTCTAATGTCCATCATCAGGCCCCATCTGTGCCAGTGCCACGGGCCCGGAGCCAGACAAGGAGCGTGTGACACGGATGGACATAGCTGACGTGAGAGAGGTGCTGTCCAAGCAGAGACGGGTGATTGACACCATGCAGCTGGTGGTGGACGTGGACGGCAACATGGTGAACGAGATGAAGCTGCTGAGGAAAGAGAGCAGGAACATGAACTCCAGGGTGACCCAGCTTTACATGCAGCTGCTGCACGAGATCATCAGGAAGAGGGACAACTCTCTGGAGCTGGCCCAGCTGGAGACCCGGGTTCTCAACGTCACCTCAGAGATGCTGAGACTTGCCTCCCGCTACAAGGTTAGAACATCAAGGTGGAACTAGAACGCAACGTGCTTAATGCTACATTCATGTATAGATCAAATGAAATGAAGAAGCACGTTAGAAGCAAATCAACAGTGCCATAATATAGAAGCTTGAAAAAGACCAGAAAGCAATCATTTGATATAGTTTGAGGATATTTGGATAATCTATAACTAAATTAAGTGATTTGTGGCCTTTTGTTACCTTCTCTGTTCTGCAACCAGGAGCTGGAGGGGCGTTTCACATTGATGGCGGGGGTGGTGAACAACCAGTCAGTGCTGATTGCTGCGTTGGAGGAGCAGTGTCTACGGACCCTGGGGCATAGTGAGCTACCTGTGGTCCCCCCGCTGGTCCAGGTGGTGCCAGAGAATATCCCTGTCAACAGCCGCTTTACCAACGAGATACAGAGGGACCACACCAACCGAGCCTTCCCACGTGGGTCACGCATGGACTCCCCCACTGCCTCCCCATTTGCACTCAACCCGCCGCCACCGCAGGGCACGCTCACCTCAGACGGTATGTACCAAGTAGCGCTGGGAGGGGTGGTTAAGGTTAAATGAGAAAAACACTGAATCATTGGGTCCAATTATCACAGCATGTGAAATTGGTTGGAAGCTGTTGTATAGCACACTGTATTACTTATACAACTAATATAAGGACAGGACATGAGACGGGAGTAGAAATTAACGTGGGCATTGTTTTAATGCGTTTCACGGGAAGAACATTCCAAGCATTTCAACGTAGGTAAGCAAGGGGGGGGGTTACAGGTGCCCTAAAGGGACAAAACTAGAATATCAATACACAACATATTCCTCCACCTTTACCTTTGATGATTCATAAGGAAAAAGTAAATATTCACTGTTTTGCCTATTGTTTTCTTAATGTAAATAAATGAACTTTTCAGAATAACCTTTTCTAAACTAGGGATAGAGGGTAGACTGCCTCAGTCCCCAGACTTAACCCTGGGGTGTATTCTGCCCCAATGTCGGAGGTTAGTCTGAACTAAATAGTCAACCTGTCAGGGGGTCGTCTTTCTCTTGCAGGGTAATGACGACGTACAGGTGAGTCTACAGTCACATTATCTCTGAGTCTAAGTGGTGATGGTGTATGCCCAGACTGGGGTGCAACAGTACCCTGAGTAGGCACCCTGAGTAGGATCAGGTGAGTCTGGAGCACTTTCCACATTTGTAGGTTGCTGCAGTGGATGTTCAGGTGATAGCTTGTAGTCATGGTAGGTCTCCAGTAGCTGATCTTGGTTTGTCATCTGAGGTTGGTTCCTGGCAACAGTTGATCCAGTAGGACACAGGCCCTGTTTGTGCAACCACTGTGGCTGGTATCCACTTTGGACCTTTGCAGTAGTTCCGAGCAAGAACTCTGTCTCCAGCTATGAAGCTTCTGTCTTTTGCTTTGCTCCGTCTCTCCACCTGTGCTCTCTGTTGCGTCTGTACAACCTGTCTCGTCTTTGGAGGTCTCAGGAGGTCGAGTCGCGTGTGAAGCTGTCTTTTCATCATGGCTGACGCGGGTGCCACTTTGGTTGTAGCGTGGGGAGTGTTTCTGTAGGTTAACAGGAAGGTGTTTAGACGCCTATTGAGGGAGTCGTTCCCTTGTGATGATTTTAAAGCTTGCTTCATCGTTTGGACAAACCTTTCAGCGAGGCCGTTCGTTGCAGGGTGATACGGCGCTGACTTGATGTTCTGAATTCCATTTGCTTCCATGAATGACCGGAACTCTTCAGACACCAGTTGGGGGCCATTATCACTAACGAGTTGCGTTGGCAAGCCGAAGCGACTGAAAATTGACCGTAGCTCTTCGATGGTTCTCTCCGCTGAGGTGCTCTTCATCACTGTGACCTCAGGCCATTTGCTGTGTACGTCAACTACGACTAAGAACATACGATCCTCCAGTGGGCCTGCATAGTCTATGTGGACTCGCTGCCAAGGCTCCTCTGGGAAGTCCCATGGGTGTAGCTGCGCTAGCTTAGGCATGTTCCTCATCTTTTGACATGCAGAACATGACTTGACCTTGTCTTCGATAGCTGCATCCAGACCTGGCCACCAAAAGTAGCTGCGTGCAATCTCCTTCATTCGCACCATGCCACAGTGCCTTGAATGGAGTTCTATGATGTATGATGACTCGAAAACCCCATAGCAAGCATCCAAACTGAACTGTGAGCTCGTTTCTCCTCACTAGGTAAGGTTGTAGGCTGTCCGACATCTCTCCTTTTCCACAAGTGACAATGTCCTTGACCTCAGACATCACTGGATCAGTGTGGGTGAACCTTTTCACTTGGACAGATGTACCTGGGGCGTTCGTCACTTCCTTGAAGTAGAAGATTTCAGCCTGGGAGTGCTCAGTGTGTGCGACAGGTAAAGGAAGCCTTGAGAGGCCATCTGCATTGCAGTGCTGCTCAGACCTTCTGTACTTGATATCATAATGGTGAGCAGATAACAATAACGCCCATCGCTGCATGTGGCTGGCTGCAAGCGACCGAATGCCGGTGTGGGGACCAAAGATGGAGGTGAGGGGTCTATGGTCCGTCAGCAGTGTGAATCGTTGGCCAAACAGAAACTGATGAAATGTCTCAACTCCAAACACAATGGCGAGTGCTTCACACTCTATCTGTGCATAATTGCTCTCGGCTTTACTTAAGGTCCGTGATGCGAAAGCAATTGGCCTTTCTTCACCTGATGGCATGATGTGTGAGACAACCGCACCAACGCCATAAGGCGATGCATCACATGCCAATTGTAATGGCAAGTTGGGGTTGAAGTGGGTTAGGGCCTCTGACTGAGCTAAGGCTGTTTTCACTTTCTTGAAGGCCTCCTCACATCTGTCTGTCCACTTCCACTGTTTGGTTTTGTTCAAAAGTTCATGCAGTGGCTTTAACATGTTAGCTAGGTTTGGCACAAACTTTGCGTAGTATGTCAGTAGTCCTAAGAATGATCTCAGCTGACTCACGTTCTGTGGGGATGGAGCTTCTGCAACGGCCTTCACCTTCAATGGCGCCTTGTGGAGCCCTGCACTGTCGGTGACGTGGCCTAGGTACTCAGAGGGCCGGAAAAACGTGCATTTGTCTTTCCGGACCCTCAGACCGTACTCCTCCAATCTCTGTAGTGTAGCGTTCAGGTTTCTCAGGTGCTCCTGCTCGTCTTTGCCGGTGATGAGTAGATGATCGAGGTAACATTGGACCCCAGTGAGCCCGCTCAGTATCTGGTCCATAGCTCTCTGAAACAAGGCCGGAGCTGAGGTGATTCCAAAAGGAAGCCTCCGGTACCTGTACAGTCCTTTGTGAGTCACTATGGTCAACAGTTCTTGTGACTCTTGGTCCACATGCATCTGTAGATAGACTTATGTCAGGCCTATCTTACTGAATATTTGTCCTCCAGCTAAACCAGAAAAGAGGTCGTCAATGAGGGGTAGTGGATATTTTTCAGCAGTCTAGACTGGATTAATGGTGACTTTGAAATCACCATAGAGTCTGAGTGATCCATCTTTTTTTATGACTGGAACAACGGGTGTAGCCCATTCACTAACATTCAGTGGATCCAATACTCCACTCTCGCGAGTCTGTTTAGCTCAATTTCAACTTTTGGTTTTATGGCGTATGGGACAGGTCTAGCTTTGAAGCATTTTGGCTTGCTGTCTGGTTTCACGGTCAGTTTAACTGTTATGTTCTTCATACTGCCAAGTTCTCCTTTGAACACATCCACGTGTTTCCTCAATATCCCTTGTAGGTTTGTGTCCTCTTTTGCAACCATGTGAATTTCCTGCCAGTTTAGTTTGATCTTTTCCAGCCATGTGCGTCCTAGCAATGCTGGATGGTTGCCTTTCACAATGTAGAGTGGTAGCTTTACCTTCTGTTTGTTGAGCTCCACTGTAACAATCACGCTTCCTCTCACTGGAACAATCTCACCGGTGTATGTTTTCAGCGTCATCTTTGTGGGCTGTAGTGTGAGGTGATGTAGTTTCTCCTTGTATACAGCCTCAGACAGCAAAGATATGGCTGCTCCAGTGTCCACTTGCATCCGTACTGCGTTTCCATCCAGTAGCGGTGTCACCCAGTAACCGTATCCATTGTCTGAAATTGACATAACATGCAAAGATTCTTCCCCTTCAGACAGGGTATCACTTTGTTCATCCTCTGTGTGCTCCATTTTATGCACTTTCTTTTTGTACTTCCTGAAGTCGCTTTTCCTTTGTTCAATACTTTTGTTTGATTGTGTCTTTTTGTTTTAACATGCACGTTCAACGTGACCCTTTTTTCCACAACTTCTGCAGTCTTTGCACCAACACTCCTCTGCTTGGTGACCTGGTTTCCCACAGCGATAGCATTGCTTCCCACCTCCTGCCTTGTTTTTTAACTCCAGACACCTTATGCACTTTGGTCGATGCACTTAGCTGTTGTGCGTCTTTATTTGCCATTTCCATTGACGTACTCACTTCTATTGCTCTCTGCAATGTTAAGTTACTCTCAGTCAAAAGGCGTTTCTGAATTGCCTCGCTGCGCATGCCACACACTAACCTATCAAGTATAGTGTCACTCATTGATCGCCCAAATTCAGTGTTCAGATAACTGTTTCAATACAGCCACAAACTGTGAGATTGATTCCCCCTCTTCTTGATTTCTCTTATGAAACCGGAATCTCTCTGCGATTATCAGTGGTTTGGGAGAATAATGTCCTTTTAAAAGGTAGCCACAATTTCATCATATGATTTATCACCAGGTTTTTCAGGCGTTACTAGGCTGCGCAGTAGATTGAATGTTTTTCCTCCCATAAGTCAAAAATATTGGCACAACGATTTCTGCTTTAATTCCATTTGCCAACACAAAGTACTCAAAACGTTCTGTGTAAGAACAGATTCATCAAATGTTCCTATATTTCCAATCAATGCAGACATTTTGGGTTTATTTTTCTTACTTTTAACTCACGATGACTTCACTTTCTCCCGCAGCAAAACTCTTCCCATCCCTTGAGGCTCTCGTTGCTGTGACATCAAAGGCTAGCTAGCATCACTCGACTGGCTAGGTCCACGTTATGTTTGCGTCTTTCTACAGCGGCAGACTTTCTGCCGAAGACGATGAGCACAAACGTGAGAACGTTTCTTCCTCGTTGCCAGTTTTGTTGTATAGCACACTGTATTACTTATACAACTAATATAAGGACAGGACATGAGACGGGAGTAGAATTTAACGTGGGCATTGTTTTAATGCGTTTCACAGGAAGAACATTCCAAGCATTTCAACGTAGGTAAGCAAGGGGGGGTTACAGGTGCCCTAAAGGGACAAAACTAGAATATCAATACACAACAGAAGCAGTGCTGGTACTGTAATTTCAGAATTAGGCAGAAGCTAAGCTCACTGTAGGCCGGGCAGACATTTCACGTCTAATTGTCAGAAATGCAAAATTAGCATTGCGGTGGCCAATGATGCGTCTAATTCCCTGAATGCCTGGCGAGTGGGTAAACGGTCTGGCCATTCGGCCGGCTGTGGTCCAGTGGGTTCATACCTGGCAGGAGAGACTGAAGCAGTGAGATCACACATTCCTCTGAG